AGGTACAGCACTATCTTTAAACACATCTTAGGACTGTCTTCATAGACAGTAAAGTTCTTTGGATGTGAAAAGGAAAGTGAGCACCAAGTGTATAATGTTTGACAAGCTAATGTACTTACCATCATACTGCAAAAATCCATTTTTATCTGTCTCTATCTCAGACTCTGGCTGGAAAAATAATAGAGTATCCATTAAAACAGTGTGTATGTAGGGCAGAAATACTACAATGATAGAATAAATGGGAGATGAGCCTTTAGTAAACGCATTGGAGGATAAAATCAAAGATCAGCACTGACAGATGGCGCCATCTAGTGGGTAAGTAACACCACTGCACTGAGCATACCTTCAGTACAAAAGGTGTATGGCTCACCACAGGCTTTTTGGATGTAATTCAATTAACTTTGTTATTAAACATTTTTGTGTCAAATAAATTATCTAAAAAGTTTTATACATACCTTGAAGAAGTCGTCCTGAGATATGACACTGCAATTTGGAAGGTGTTTCTGCAAATTCTTAGCCAGTGTTGTCTTCCCACCATTTGTCACACTTAAACCAAAGAAAAAAATGGAAAATACCAAGAAGGAAAATGTATTAAAAAACATAAAACATTTTTAAATGATTTTTTTAAAAAAGTATATTTAAAATAATGTTTACTATGTAAGAAACAATGATTTCTTTCACGGATATTGTTTTTTCTGTTGGGAAAACCACAGGCATTGGCAGATACAATGTACTAAATGATAAAAAAATAAGCTGGGAAGGATGGAGAAGAAAGTCAACTAACTATTGGGTAAGTGGACTGGGTAGTACTAAGACTTAATAATACAGATATTGTGTTGAAAGCAAAATAATTTTTTTGTCAATGGCAAAACATCACAGGGTTCACACACAACACAGAGAATATCAGTATCACATTTTAGTTCAAGTGTATAAAATTACATATAGTCGTGATTTTGTTTCAATGCACAGTGTAAAAAATGGAGGTGTGACTAATTAAGAGCCCACCTATTATGAATTCACACCTGCTCAGTGATGCCTCCTTTTCCCCATCTCTCTCTACTTTGGGGCTAGGTGGGAAGTCCATTGTAGCTTATTTTTCCCTTCTGGCTGGACTGTGACATCGAGAAGAATGGGCACCTAACTCTCCTGTGTATCTAGTTTCTCAGCATCCAGCACCCTGCATGGCACATAGGAGGCGTGTCTCTATTCAGTCATTTATTCAAAGAGTTCTTTAACCCAGGGCCCGTGTACCTCCAAAGGGTCTGTGGACAGAATTTAGGATCTCTGTGAACACAAATGGAAAAGAAATCACATCTGTATTTTCACTAAACTGTAACAGAAATTTAGTATTCCATTTAATTATAATTGTAGGTGACAGTAGTATTAACAGTACCTGTGACTTTGTAACCAACAGAAATTACAGATATTTTCATATTATGTTGCAGTTGGGGTGGATATCTTGAAGTATCATTGATGCTCATTATTTCAAATATATCACAGGTTTTAGAGCCACCACTGGATATTGTTATTTAATATGTTAACAAAGAAGCATACATATCATGATGTCACAAATTTGTTTTTAAAATTTTTTTTTACTATATTTCAATATAATTTTTTTTGTATTCCAATATTTTATTTTGTGCATTTAAAGACATTACTCTTAGAAGAAGCCAAGACTACACCATGCCACCAAATGTCCACAGCACTCCAAGGACACTGCAGATGAAAGGGAGGCAGTTGTAACTGCTGCCACTGCTACCATTGCTGCCACTACAAGGTAACACCACTGCTGCTACCAACACTGTAGCTGTATGGAATGCTACTGTGGACACCACAGCCAAGTGGGCTGCTGCTGCAACTGCCACTGCTGCAGTCACTGCCACCACCAATGCTGCCAGGCAGCCACCATCATAAGGCAAACAGCCTACTGCCACTGGAACTATCACTGCCATGCAGATGGCCCACCAAAACAACCACAACAGCCACCACCACCACAAGTGTGGCCTGCTACCACAGCAGCAGCTAAAGCAGCCACTGCTGATGTGCAAGCGAACTACTGACCAGTTGACTAACTGACACTAGGAGGGTCACCAGTAGAGTCCAGGGAAGAAGAGTAACAGAAAAAGTACTTGCTTTACCAGATGACCAGACATCAATGTAGAAATACTAGAAAGACGAAAAAGCAAGAAAATATGAGTCTACCAAAGGAATACAATAACTCTCAAGCACCAGACCCTATAGAGTAGGAAACTCTTGAAATGACTGAAAAGGAATTCTGAGTAAAAAATCTGAAGGAAACTCAATGAGATACAAGAAAATGCATTTAGACAACACAACGAACTGAGCAAAACTATCCAGGATATGAAGGAAGACATTTAAACATTAAATACTTTATGAAAGAATGTAACAGAACTCAAGGAACTGAAGGAGTCATTCAATAAAATAAAAAATAAAACTGAGAGCTTAACTAACAAGCTAGAGCAAGCAGAAGAAAGAATTTCTGATCTTGAAGACAGTGTCTTCGAACTAACTCAAGCAGACAAGAAAAAGAAAAAAGAATTTAAAAAAAAGAAAATCTAAGAGAGAGCAGAAAATCTTAAGTACACAAACATCTGAATCATGGATACTACTGATGGGGAGGAGAAAGGAAAAGGCATTGAGAACATATTCAATGAAATAATAGCAGAAAACTTCCCAAGTATCGGGAATGACAAAGAACTTCAGATTCAGGAGGCTCAAAGATCCCCAAACAGATTCAATCCAAAAAGGTCCTCTCCAA